ATGAACAAACGCAAGGATTAGCGATGGGATCTTGCTTGTCTCCCATCTTAGCGAACAATTATATGGCGAATTGCACCAGCACACTAGACTGATAAAGGCTGTATTCGTACATACTTCTAATATACGAATGAGGCTTTTCATGATTTAGTTGATAGCTTTATATTTGCCCTACATGCTTGGAAATGAAATTTTACTGTTCAAAGAAATGGATAGGATCCTAGCTGTTTCCTAATACAAGGCTTTTAATATATAATTTAGACATGTGTTTAGGTGTGCAGCCATACGTACGTAGTGTAAAGACAGTCCGTGTTGTTCATAATAAACACAAAATGCACTCATAATTTATGCATTTTAGACATACCATGCGCTTGTCGAATATTACCAACCCGATTATGTAAGTCTCTGCTTTCATCACTCACTTGTCTTAGCAAAGTCAAGAACAATAGGAAACACATTGCTCGCCTTTTATAGGACAATCATGAATTAAAGTCGGGACGGGGCTGAAGTTGGAAACGTCAGATAGTATTGGCCGATCAACAGTTATTAAGAGCTCTACTTACTCAAAGAAATTTAAGTAAGATTAACAAATAAGATCTACAATACGTTATTGACTCAGAGCGATGCTAACTGAAAAAAATCGAATTTAGATAAACAATCAAGATATACAATACAACAGTTACTAAAAGCTCTACTTACTCGAAGAGAAGAAAGTTAGTTCAACAATTAAGATCTACCATACTACATTGACTAATAATTTTAGTCACTCCAAGAAATGGAAGTGAGTTTACCAATTTAGATCTACAATACCACAGTGAATAAAAGCTCTAGTCACTCCAAAAATAGAAGTAAGTTCACCAATTCAGATCTACACTACTACAATGAATAAGAGCTCTATTTACCTTAAGAATTAAAAGTAACCTTATCAATTAAGATCTACCATAATACAGTGACTAAGTGCTCTAATAACTCCAAGAAATGGAAGTAAGTTAAAGAATTATGATCTACCATACAAGAATGAGTAAGAGCTCTATTAATTTAAACAAATGAAAGTAAGCTCAACAATTAAGATTTACTATACCACATTGTCTACGAGCTTTAGTCACTACAAGAAATAAAAGTGAGTTCAACAATTAAGGACTATAATACTACATTGAGTAAGAGCTCTATTAACTTCAAAATATAGAAGTAAGGTCAACATATAAGATCTACCATACAACAGTGATTAAGAGCTCTAATAACTCAAAGAAATGAAAGTAAGTTCAACAATCAAGATCTACCATAGAACATTTACTGAAAGCTCTACCAAATCCAAGAAACAAAAATAAGTTTAAAAATTAAGATCAACCATATCTTAGTGACTAAGAGCTCTTCTTACTTCAAAAAATAAAAGTTTGTTTAACAATTAACATCTACACATTGTTTAATAGCTTTAGCCACTCCAAGAAATAAAAATAGGTTTAACAATAAGGATATAACACATCTTAGTGACTAATACCTGTTTTAGCTTCAAAAAATTAAAGTAAGTTCAAGAATTAACATCTAGCATAGTACATTGGCTAAGAGATCTTATCACTCCAAGAAATGGAAGAAAGTTCAACAATTAAGATATACCATACAACAGTGAATAAAAGCTCTACAAAGTACAAAAAATAAAAATAAGTTTAACAATTAAGATCTACCATATTCTAGTTACTAATAGCTCTTCTAACTTCAAAGAATTAAAGTAAGTTCAACAATTAAGATCTACCATACAACAATGATTAAATGTTCTATTATGTTCAAGAAATGAAAGTAAGTTCGACAATTAATATCTACCATACAATAGTGACTAAAAGCTCTACTAACTCCAAGAAATAAAAATAAGTTTTACAATTAAGATCTAACATATCTT